GAGAGAGAAATGTATCAAATTGATGAAATTTGGAGTAATTCCAACAAATACACTTAAGGGTAAGTCTAATTAAAAAAAAACCCTGGTATCTTTCAAAATTACAAATATCCCCTTCGCATCCAAATTGCACCATAATATATGGAAATATTTATCATGACTTGTGAGAAAAACCGGAGATGGGTGCCTGTATTACTTTGGGAAGTTATATGTACTTTGAAAGATACCTGAGTAATTAGAACAAACTCTAAGGGTAGTTTCCGATGCTGCTCCAGTAATATATGCTAAAATACATAAAAAAAAATGAAAACCTTCCATCTCTGGCTGCTAAAAGGATGGTCAATGCAGTCATCTGAGTGGCAGTTTTCCATTTTCCTAGATTATTAACCGCAACAGCCTGAGGAGTGGATAAAGTTTGAGTGATCGGTTGACAAAAAGAAGCAATCTGATATGTCATGATTCATGAAATTATGTGCTTCTGAATTCGAACCTCTAGAAGCTTTTTGTCCTTAGAAGCAGCCCATTCTCTGACAGCAGACATGGTGATCTACAAGTTTATGTTAAGTCAGACATGATATTTTATTTCCAAAATTAATAACTCATTTTACGTAGAATTTATATCACGGAGAACTTAAAAAATCTTACCTCCCTACCGATTACGACAATTGCAGGCACTGTCAATAACCATGGAGCTTGCCCAAACATTCCAGCTTCAAATGGTCTGGTACACAACAATATCAATGTAGCAGCTACCATCAGCTGCAACAATTCTCAAAAGTCAAATCTTTTCTTAACACTTCTCCATTTCATATACTTTCTTTCTTTCTTTCTTCTTTTCTTTTCTTTTATCTAATTAATATCAAGAATGTGAATTGAGAACCTCTGATAGACAATTATACTCAACCATATACAATGTTGCAAAGAGCCAGTTTTACCTTATCAGCCACTGGATCCAAAAATGCACCAAATTGAGTACCCAACTTCATCTGTAACACCATTGGTATCAGATAGACATTGTCGGTAAGGGAATAATTAAAGATAAATTGGATGAATTCCTGAAATTTGAGGTTGAAAAGGAAGCACCTTTCTCGCTAGGTATCCATCAAGCCAATCTGTAGTGGCAGCGGCAAGGAAAATTCCTACAGTGGCATTTGGTCCCCACCAGCTCTCAACATAAAATGCTAAAGCACAAATATTAATGTGTCAATTTCATCAAGTACAATACCGGTTCAAAAACAGCCAGCATTAGGTAGACCGAAATGGATACCAAACAAAATATAGAAGGTATGCAACTACATAGAACCTAAATCCATCAGCACTTCTGCGTGCTATCTCCTAGTAGATGAAAACGAATAAAAAATAAACAGTGAAAAGCAAAATTTGCAAACTATACTTTGCACATTTTTAGATTTTGCAACCTAAAGTATTTCCTTTCCTTCTCAAAATGCAACCGGACATTCACAAAATTTCATCATTTGCAACCTCAGGTGCATCTTAACCACAAAATCATACTGAAAACCACACATCTATGCAATCAAGATAAACTCGAGGTTGCAAATTATGAAGTTTGGTGAACTTTAAGTTGCAATTATAAAAAAAGAACCAAACTTTAGGTCCCAAAACTGCAAACTTCCTTTTTCCCAAGAAAACAATATCACTTTCTACATTATACGTAATCACTTGTAAACCAAATTACTTGTTCGGCCGATGAACATCTGGATGCATCAATTACCAAATCAGCAGATACGAAACTAAACAGATAAGAGAAGCGAAATTCAGCACGTACTGTAGACGAGCAGCGGCACAGCGGCCACGCGACCAATCGTCAATATCGTAGGCAAAGTGAGCAACTTAGTCGGATCCACCGGAGGCTTCTCGCCGTATTCTGAAGGCGGCGACGCGTCTGATTGATCGTATTCGCCTCCTCCCTTGCCGTGAACGGTTGCACCCATCTGGGTCCCACAATGATCGCTCTTCCCGCGATGTGAACGGCCGTCTCGGCCGCTGTTCCTAGGTTCGGACGTGTAGAAGCATATATTCTGGCCGTGTCTCCGGCTATGGCGAAATCCAAGCGTATCGTCGAAATGCGCGGCGGCTGAGCATGGGGCTACCCCGCAGCACCTGCCTGACAAGTACTTGAGCGATGGGATTCGTCTCGAATTGACGGAGACGGAGACGGCGGTGGATGGGAAGGCGGATGTAGGGAAATTGTTGAGGAATTTGTAGGGTTTGTGGGCGTGAAGGATAGTGAATTTGGTGAGTTTGAGGGCGCCTGGCATGGTGAGAAGGGTATAAAGGTTCGATTTTGTGGGCACAAAAAGAAAGGCTCATATTAGCGAACGAGGGAGGCTTATGTTAGCGGAGCTGGTTAGGCCTGGAATTGAGATGGGGACGGACAATAAATTGAGTTTTGATCCACAAATTATTGAATATTTCAAAATTACCCTACATTTTTGGGTCCTATAAAATGAAAATCACATAATTCTTTTAAGTTTTGAGCCATTTTCAACTAGAAAAATGAACATTTTGCAACATTCTTCACCTTTTTATTATATGAACTTCAATTCAAGATTTTTAAAATAAGTCCACAAAACCTCCTTAAATATTTCATAAAATTTCCCAATCAAGTGCATAAAATATTTTGAAATCCAAATCCACCTCTCATTTTTTTTTTCTTTTATTTCTCTTTTAAAAAAGAGAGATCAATACTGGTTCCCTAATTTCCTTCGAGTGACTAAGACTCGAAACATGGTATACGCCGACCCAAGATATGCGCCACTACGCTAACCCCTCTTCGTCCACCTCTCATTATTTTGAAATATGGAAATTGCAATATAATACTATGAAATTTGCCTTTGTAACTTAAATTGCCAAGAAAAAAACATGTGAATTCCTCTGACAGCCACCCCACCCTCAAATTAATTGACTCCCCTTCTCTCACCTCTCAATTTCTGCTTATTTATTACAGTTTCTATTTGAGCAAAGGAGGCTTTGTAATGAAAGTTACGAAGTGGTGAAGAAGATGAAGGCAAAAGTACCAGCGGCTCCACTTCATGCTCTCGATCACAAAAGGTTCTAGCTTTAAAAGCAATTTACTTTCTATCTTGAGTTGGGTTTTCTATTATATTGTTTAAATATCTTGTTAGTTCTTGCAAAGATTTGATTTTTGGACCGTCAAATGTTAGTGGTGAGTCTGGTGACCTCAAAACTTCAGTTTAGTTGTTCAGCATTTTGAAGCGCTGGTTTGGAGTGTGTAGCTGCTGTTCTTAATTTGATCTTTGTTTTTTTGGTAGTCTTCCTTTTCTTTTAATTTTTTTTCTTTCTTTGCCTTTTTGACATTTTCCTTTGGGTCTGCCGACATTTATAAAAGAAGTCAATTTGATGGTTTTCTTGTTGGAATTGGACATTTGTCTTTCGTATGAAGATTTGTCTGAAAATTGCAACTTTTTTAGTTTTCACATAATGATGTCTTTGAGTCTACGAATGTGATATTTGGTTAACATCATTCGACTAGGTAAGGGTAGCTCTTTTCTTTTTCATCAAAATGAAAACTTGAGGTGTTTTAGTGTTTATATTGAGCTTGCTGCAAATTTTTAAAGCTATTTGAAGACCCGTGGCATACAGAAATATGAGGTGTTTACAATATGATAATAGATATCGTTTCTACTATGTCGATTTTTTTTTTTTTTTTTATCCATGTTCTGTTTATACCTGTGGATTATTGCATATAGCACTGTGAGAAGTGGAGATATCTAATGTGTTTAGATCGTCTTTAAGTTTCTGTTTGTTGTAAATAGAAGATTCTGTTGAGGAACTATGGATACACATTGTCTGGAAAAAAGACTCGTCTTTATCCTGTTTTCCTCCAATTCATATATTTCCTCCATTTTTGTCTATCTGCCTTTAGAGTAAGTAAATCGTGAAGGAAAGTTTGCTATGATTTAGTTGTATTCTCGATCTTGCACGAGCAGGGATGCCTATGGGTTTGCAGTGAGACCTCAGCATTTACAAAGATACCGGGAATATGCAAATATCTACAAGGTTTCATTTTTCCTATGTTTTCAAATTCTATTTGTTCTTATTTTTCCGATTTCCGCTTCATTTTACACCATTTTGTTATCACACATCTCACACGATGTGCTTTCAGGAAGAAGAGGAAGAGAGATCAGATAGATGGAAAGACTTTCTTGATAGGCAATCAGAGACGATTCGATTGGACACCAATGATTTATCGGCAACCAATATAAAGGCTGAAGATAGTTCCAAGAATGTTATCAGTGAAAAATACAAAGAGAAGCAAAAATGGACTGAAATAAGACTATCTCTTCGTGTCATAGAGGATTGGATGAGCTCTCGGGTGAAAAATGAGGTCAGTTTGATTAGCAGAGATGAGGCTCTTGATAAGGGGACATGCAAAGAGGACTCTGAGGAAGAATTCCATGATTTGGATATAACGGAATTGGATTCTGGTCAAGAAAGGACTTCACCAGACTGTATTTCTGACGGTTTTACCCTTTCAGAATCTCGACCTTCTTGGGAAGAGGAACTCAAATGTCTTGTTCAAGGAGGGGTCCCGATGGCACTAAGGGGGGAGGTGAAAAAAAATGTCTTTGATGGCTCATTAACTTTTTTTTTTTTTCTTTATTATTATTATTAAGATTATGATAATGTGTCCCTATGTAGGGTTGCTGGTGAAATTCTTTTCAAAATCATTTCGGAAGTCCGTAATATGATCTGTAGTTTCAGTAGAAAAAGAATTCGGATAGCTATCGTCCTTATAATTAAAACCACACGTATACTTTTTTCACTTCCTCTTATTATTCAAATCATCAGTCACATTATTAGTATTTTAGTAATACTACCATTATACTAACTTCATGATGATCCGATTCATATCTTTCTTATTTTCTCAAACAGATGTGGCAAGCCTTTGTTGGTGTTAGAACTCGTCGGATAGAGAAATACTATGACAATTTACTTGATCCGAGTTTTAGTGTAGAAGTTATGAAAAATGGGCTAGAGGAAAAGAATCACTATTCGAATTTAGAGAGGGTGGGTGTACCTGAAAAATGGAAAGGCCAGATTGAGAAGGTTATTATTTGTTCTTACTTTTCTTGTGAAGTCCTATCAATGCTGCTTATAAATTGCTTAAATATAACTGTAACTAGAAATACAACTATATATTAACGCAGGACTTGCCTCGAACTTTTCCCGGTCATCCTGCTCTAGATGAGGGTGGTCGAAATGCTTTAAGGCGTCTACTTACAGCATATGCCCGTCATAATCCCTCTGTTGGCTATTGTCAGGTATTATTAATCACCAAAAGTAAATAGAAAGAACTCAGGAAATTTCATAACTAGAATAAGAACCCGACTTTTTATTCTACCTTAAGTTAAGAGGCTAAGTTTTAGTACTTTTGCGAATGTAAGAGGCGTTTTTGAGATGCTTTTCACTTATAAGTGGAAAATACAAGGCACAATCAATCTTCATTTCTTTATTACCAACCTCTTTGCTTTTTTTGTGTGCGTGTGTAAAATTATCCTTTTTGTTAATATTGGGTCCTCTGAGTTGGCTGCTTTACCAGGAGACTTTTCTTGGCATGATCAGTTTGTAATTATGATTAGGCTCGTCAATATTTTTAATCTGTTGGTATTCAGTTCTTCTTAACACTTTAGGAATTGTAAAAATATTTTACCCCAAGAGCCAAGTGTTCTCTTGATTCTTTTACTTAAAACATTTACTCATGAAAGTTTGTATCAACAATTGAGGCTGCTTTGGTCAATCTTGCCAGTTTCTCTTGTCTGTTGTATGTTCAAAATGTGTTTTCTTATTCGACTTAACCTGGATCAAGATTCTGAAGGACCTCCTGGTTGGGTTATCATTAGTCTCTTTATTGACTTTTGATTGATCGCCATATTTCATGATCTCATGTTGTCTAGAAGCATTTTTATAGTTTCCTTACATATGTATATGTATTCATTTGTTCATTAACAACTAGAGACCGATAGTGCATTGTTTTCCAAAAGTCATGCTGTTATATATCTCAATGTAATTCTCCAACTGTTGTGCTATATACCCAATGGCCATGCAGGCCATGAATTTCTTTGCCGGCTTGTTATTACTCTTGATGCCAGAGGAAAATGCATTTTGGTGGGTTAAAGCTTAAAACATCTTTGTTCAATAATTTATTATGATTATTGTTGTTGTAGCAACTTTAGTAGACTAATCTCCATTCTGCAAAATGGCTTAAATTTCAGGACCTTAACGGGTTTACTAGATGACTACTTCGAAGGCTATTATTCAGAAGAAATGATTGAGTCTCAGGTATTTATTTATTGCCTTCTGCCAAGTTTAGAAATTAACAACAGAGTTGCTCCACCGATTTATTTTGTCTCAAAAGCTATAAATCATTGTGGCAGGTCGATCAGCTTGTTCTCGAGGAGTTAATGCACGAAAAATTCCCCAAAATTGGTTTGTTTTTTATATATATTTTATGTCCTTCACTTAAATGGACTTCCACTGACTATGTTTTCCTCGTCTCGTTAATTATGTAACACAGCAAATCATCTGGAATACCTGGGAGTACAGGTGGCATGGGTGGCTGCCCCATGGTTCCTCACAATATTTATAAATATGCTTCCTTGGGAAAGTGGTGAGCAATTTTTTTTTTTTTGTTCTTTTGAAAAACCATTTAATAATTTATATATTGTTTTGTTGCATGTCGATACTAAACTCTATAAGACCTGATTTGCTTTTAATCTGTCTTACAGTTCTTAGAGTCTGGGATGTTCTTCTCTTTGAAGGGAATCGTGTAATGCTTTTCCGGACTGCACTTGCTTTAATGGAGTTATATGGTAATGATAGGAATATTCTTCTAAAAATCCGCTTCATTTGCGATTTGGACGAGACTTATGTTTGTTCAGTTTCGTGCAGGGCCTGCATTGGTTACAACAAAAGATGCTGGAGATGCTGTCACACTGCTTCAATCATTAACAGGCTCGACTTTCGATAGCAGCCAGCTCGTCTTGACAGCTTGCATGGGTTTCCAGAATATTCACGAGAAAAGATTACGCGAACTGAGAAGTAAACATCGATTAGCAGTCTTTGCTGCTCTCGAAGAAAGGTCAAAGGGACTTAAACATTTGGATATGAGCTTGAATGGTGATCCTGCAAAAGATCTTCACGAGCAGGTAGCATAGTTATCTTCTTCTTTTTCACAATTATTTACTTCTTATTTTGTTGGAAATTGGTTTCGTTCAGGCGGTGTGGCTAAAGGTTGAGGTATGCAAGCTGCTCGAGGAAAAACAATCTGCTGAGCTCAGGTGAACACAACTTTGTGTTTATTTTAATTACGGACTGCTGTGTATGTTAGTCGATAAGTAAAGGTTACCATTTGATGATATCAGTGAACATATATGAAATTTTGTTTGGAAAAGAATTAAGGGGATTAAGGAAATATAAATAGCCTCCATGTAGATAACCATTGCCATCCATTGCAGAAATTATGTGCTATGTGTTAGTTCAAAGCTGTTTGCTGATAAAGATGAGATATTCATAATTTCATATTCATGACCTGAAAGAAAAATATTTATTCAAAAAATAAGTTATAATTCCACTACTCATTTTTTGCTGAAATATTAATGTTTATTTGTATTCATCCTTTATCTGTAATTTCCTGAAATGTTTTGTGTGTTATAATCTATAATTATCTCTTTAACTTTTATTTGCTACTTACAGAGCAGAGGAGCTCGAAACAGCATTAATGGAGATGGTCGAGCATGATAATCGCAAGCAACTCAGTGCACGGGTAATTTAAGAGTCGAACGAATATCTTTGTCGCTGTTAAATTTTTTTTCCTTTATAAAATTTTCAACCTAATCGAAAAGTTAATATGCTGTTGGCTAAAGGTTGGGCAATTAGAACGAGAGGTCTCTGAACTTCGACAAGCACTTCTATGCAAGCATGAGCAAGAGAATGCAATGCTTATGGTAAAAAAAATATTGCCTTCAAATTCTTTTTTTTTTTTTTCAATTTTCCACTTATGATCTTTGTCTTTGGGCACTGTAATTTTTGGCACTACTGTTTTTACTTTTACAGATGTTAATGAGGGCCGAACAAGAACAGAAGGCAACCGAGGATGCTCGCCTATCTGCCGAGCAAGATGCTGCTGCCCAGAAATACGCAGCTCAAGTATTTCAGGTTTTGTTTTTTCATTTCCTCTTATGCTCGCCCAATAATAAGCGACATGTAAAAATTTTATTTCCTTAAAAGATTTATAAGATTATATATATATATATATATATATATCAGCTACTGGTTTACTCTTTAGTGTTCGGCCCTTCCTAAACCGAATACCTGGCTATTCAAGGTGTAACTATATGGGAATTCGTCCTTTTAAAATGAAGTGGGTAGAAGAGATTTTTTTGGTTTAAATTTTATGATATGTCTTTCTTTGTAATTATAATTTTTTTCTTGGGTTACGTGCTATATTTTGCTAGGTAAAGTGTGAAAAAGAAAATGCTGCGCTAGTCGAGATGGAAAACCGGGCAGTTATGGCTGAGTCGATGCTGGAAGCTACTTTGCAGTATCAGTCGGTACAATACAAAGCGCTTCATTCTCCCCGGTAATACTATTGTTTGTTTGAAATATATTTATAGGCTTAATTTTTTCCCCACTTCTCCTTTTCCTTTTTCTAAAATACCCCAATAATTGCAAAATTTCAAATTTCACCAATAAGAATTATCATAATATCCTCAAAATATAAAATCCATACTATTTTAAAGAAAAATCGTTGCAAGAAATTTACAGAATTAAAATGCTCGAATTCACTTCCAAAAAATGCAGATTTTACTATTTTACTGATTCACTTCCAAAAAAATGCTAGAAATATATACATTTCAGAAAGGTGGCTAGTTTTTGTGATTTTTACTGACTATATTTTGCATGATTTCCATTTTCACGAATCCCGTTTGCTCATCACTCATTTGCTCGTAACAGAGGAATCGATATTTCCTCCAGTACAGAAAGAGGGGCCAAATGACGATTTACTGATAAAGATAATGCCGATTTCGTCATTTTCTTCTCAAAGAAGAAGAAATATGTGAATGCAGCAAGGAAATCTGACAGAGCCTAAATGATGGGGAATCTCTGGAAGGGGGTAGTTTCTGCTTCAGGAGCTTCGCACAGTTGTTATGATCGATTCTCGTTTAGTTCATTATTAAGAGTAATTGAAAACTCATCATTTGTTTGTTTGTTTGTTTTTCGAGCTATTATTAATAGCTCGGAGAGAGAAGTATTAGAAGAGATACATATCAGGTTTAGACGAATTCGTGACAAGAAAAAAAAATAAATAAATAAAAAGGAAAAACTGTAATCCATGACTTTGTACTGCAACATCTGTGTAAAGTGTGATAGAACATTAGAATATTTATCTGTTTACAAGCTGTCCACTCTTTTTCTATCATCTTTCTTACCTCTTTGAAATGTAATACATTTGACTGTAAAAACATATACTTAACATTTCAAAATGATGATTGCCTTGTAACATTTAATCAGCTTAAACCAATTTTATTTATTTAAATTTGAAAAGTGATGGCAGTTAGGTAAAATTCTATCAACCTTAACAGGTTTCTGCCCTTGTGAAAAATTGCAACAGAAAGATGAAACAATCTCCACTAAACAACATATCTGTTAACATAAAAGTTGAGCATCTGAATATAAATTACAAAATATGTCTTCAACAGACCATTAAATCATCACTTACCAAAGATTATTAGAAATGATTCAAAAAAGAAAAAAGAAAAAAAAAGAAAAAAATAGGTACTAAAATCACATTACAATGTCTTCTTAAACAACCCATTCTGTATGAACAAAACTCTACATGCAGAAGCCCCTCATTTGAACTCTCGTGTGTCGAAAGGCTATAAGGATACATAAGCAAGAACGAATGATAACAACGAAGAATAGAAGATAACTCTAAAACGACCTACGACGCACAAAACATTCACAAAGAATTAACACGACCGAACTCTTTTTTTGTTTTTTTTTTCCTTTGCATTTTTCTATTTTCACTTTTAAACAAATGGAGCAAGAAAAACTAAGACAATTCTTCACGACCGTTGCTAAGCTCATGGTGTCCCTTTAAGACAAGACCAGAAAACATCCTTAAAATGCACTCACGTGTACTCGTCCAAAGATTCGTTTTTTCTTTATTTTTCATTACCCCTTTTTTTTTCTCTTCTCCCTTTTCTGTTGCTAAGGTTACCTCAGCTCCCACCGCATTCTTGGAGTGGACGGGCCCGAACTGGGCTTTTGGGCTGGCTGTTGGGCCTCCGGGTCGTATTTCTGAGAAGCAAGATAAGTGAGGGCCGTGACCACATCTGCAATTAGAGGCCGCATATTGGGCTGTTCTTGCACGCACATTGCAGCCACAGCAAGCGCTTGATAGAGTCCACGAGACGGGTATTGGCCTTGGAGCATAGGGTCTGCCATTTGAGAAAACTTTCGGCGGTCTTTGAACAATGGTCGGGCCTGCAGCAAATAAGGCAGCACTAAAAGGTGATATTTTTGCCAATATTTTTTTTTTTTTTTTTGAGTAAACCGTACATTTTTGCACGGTCTCGTACAAAAATAGAAACGAGACTGGAGTCTGGAGCATAAATTTGAGGATGTTTTACATTTCTTTTTCATTTTTTATTTATAGTTAATTTCTTTTATTAAAAAAAAATATATACTTTTAGAATCTTAAATTGATAATTCAAATACTAGTTTGGGTCAAAAATCGATTGATTTCGTCATTCAAAGCCCGAATTGGTAGTTGACACGTATTTCGAGCCTCAGACTGAGAGAAAGTAAAGTCTTAAATTGATAGAATTTAACTTTCATGCCTCGAGTTGATAGTTAACCAATCTTTCGAAACTAAAACTGATAGAAAATGCCGGCATCTTCCATGACGAAAGCTTTGCATATAATGAATACACCATAAGAATAATTCAACAAAGGAAAAATATAATCTACAATAACAATGAAAACAAAAAAGAACGAAAGAGAAAAATTAATCTTACCCATGCAACGAGATTGTGCTCCCCAGCAGCTCTTGAATTATCAATAGCCTTTCTGCCAGTGATAATCTCCAAAAGGACAACTCCAAAACTATAAACGTCCGATTTCAATGTGAGCTGGCCTGTCATTGCATATTCAGGTGCACAATATCCATAAGTCCCCATCACTCGAGTAGACACGTGTGTCTTATCACCAACAGGACCCAATTTGGCCAAACCAAAATCCGAAAGCTTTGGATGGTACCCCTCGTCTAATAAAATGTTGGAGCATTTTAAATCCCGATAAATAACTGGCGGGTTTGCCTTATCATGCAAATACTCTAGTCCCTTTGCTGCCCCTGCAGCTATTTTCATCCTCGTGTTCCAGTCGAGCCTCTTTTTGTCAGAGGGAAGGTCTGGAAAGTGCAAGAACATGCTATCAAACATTATCTTTTTTTTTTTCGATGATCAATACATAAAAAGTGTCTAGTATACGGGTCCTGGTCGAATTTTTGCATAGTAAAAGCAGAAGAACATTAAATTTTATAGACTTGATTTAATTAATAGCCTCATAACATAAAAAATTCCAGTATATTCCTATTTGGTGATAATGTGTTAAATTGATTGTTAATTTACAAGATAATACATGTACAGTGATATATATAAATGTCATCCATTAAATAAATCGTCTGAAAAAAGTGTGCACTTATATTTACTCTGAAGAGGTTCTTTAAACATGACGCATTTGTCACGTGCTTCTTGCTAAAATGTGTCGCCTTGTATTAAAAAATATATTGAAGTTTGAACAACGAAATACTTCTGTACAATTAAATAAGATACATGGAACAGAATGGTACATTGAATAACATTTACATATAACATGAAAACAAACAATGTATGCATTATGCAAATAATTATTATAGATGATGGATAAATTAATAAGTTACTAAAATAATCTACAAATAGTACGATACCGTGCAAATGGTCTTCCAAAGATCCTAATGGCATGTATTCATACACCAAAAGTCTCTGATCTCCATCAGCACAATAGCCGATCAAGTTGACCAAGTTCGGGTGGTGAAGCAAACTTAACATTAAAACTTCAACTAAAAATTCCCGGTTCCCTTGCAAACCATTTCGATCGAGCTGCTTTATAGCCACAACCTATAGAAAAATCAGATAATAGGATGTATGAAAATTTTAGTTGCTAAGATGTATCCTTATTCGGAAGTAAAACATTCAAATACATGAAATATGGATTATTCAAGTCTTGAATGAGAAACAAAAGCACTGCAACATTTCCCTTAATCACTATTTCGATACAAGATTTGACCTTCAGCATCAAATTATACGACAGCTGTCATAGAAAGAAAAGAAGCTCTTTCAACAAACTTGTCAGTCTTGTTTGTTCTTATATATGAAAATGTAAAGAAAGCTTCACCCGTTGTAATTAACCAATATTCACTTCAGGACAGAAAATAAAAAACTTGCTATGCATTTTTCGAGAAGACCAGTTCAGAACTTCCTTTCTCAACAAAAATCAATATTACCAATCTCGCTTTTGTTTCTTCAGACAATGAGCTCAAATTGACATTCGTGTTTTAAAAATCGTAATATAACAAACCTGGTTAGTGGTCTCTAGTCGTCCTTTATACACTCTTCCGAATCCACCTTCTCCCAGAAGACATTCTGCCCTAAAATTCTTAGTAGCCATAGCCAATTCGCGAAAGGTAAATGTGTGTGCGGCAATGTGCCTCGATCCTCCATCTTTTGAAGCTTCCTTCTGTAAGTCAAACGAAGGATTTGCCTTCAGCTTTTCTGCCATGACGAGGTAAGGCATATCAATATTACCAAACTGAAATATATAAACTCACATATTTGCATTATCAAGAAAAAAATTGCAACACATAAAAGAGAGAAAGTGGACTAGCTATATTTTAATGTCGAGACTTCGATTGAACTTTTAGTCCAACTCTTCAAGCGGACACTAAGTAACTTAGAGGATAAACGGCATCTACCATCAACGAAATGCCGAAAGCATTAGCAAGAAGTTACCTAAAAATCTTCCATCTTTGCAGGGAAAGGTGAAAACTTTGTGACAAGCATAATCTGAAAAGCTCAAAATTCACTCAAACCTAGTTCGAAGTAGAACATAATGCCACACAAGTACAAATATAAATACAAGTTCTATCCATATCCATACATTATTAGTCATAACACATATCCAAACAGACACATGCATGAAGCATTAGCACCACATTAACTGGGATAAAGTAAATTAACACACACCATATTAATCCAAAATTAGATGGAAACAGCCCATTAACCTCCTAAATTAGCTAAAGAAAATGCAGAAAAACCACAGCTTGTCTTAAGAAAATATGTATACACACACACATTTAAACATACAAAATGATAAATAAGGGTCAGAGCACAGAAAAGCTAAAATCTTAAGAGCCCACATTATTACTCCCAAAAATATTCCTTCTAAACAAAAATAATTAATCTCGCAAATACCTATATTTGACGGGATCTGATCATCACACTTGTTGTCCTGACCCTTGTTTGCTTTCTTCCTCGATTTTCCAGAACATAGAAACCAACCCATGTCTGTACTCTCTCTCTGAATCACTCAGTGTGTGAATATTAAGTAGTGAAAAATAAAAAAGGAGTGACCTTTCGGAGAAAGAGAGAGGGTTTGAAAAGAGAGGATTGTCCAATTACAGCAGCCCAATTTCAGACAGAGGAGAGAGAGAGAGAGAGAGAGAGAGAGGGGGGGAGAAGAGAGAGAAAGGGAGCTGACCCTTTTTTGGGCTCGTTTGGTGTACACCTTTTTGAGTTTTTAACTGTGGGTCAAATTTGCATTTGGTGACCCCTTGTTTGCTGGTATATTCTTGAACTGACCCCAACATTTTCCATAATGACAAATTTTGACACCTCAATAATTGGAATTGGGGGTGCTTTTGCTTTAGCAGCCATTAGGGTATATTTTATTTTTGGTTTTTAACATTTTTTTTTTTAATTTATCATGAAATTATTAAGACACTAGTCTAGGACCTCTAGGTTACAAATGTTTGATCAATTGGCCTAGGGCTAAAATTTTATGTTTTGAATTTGAATTTTGAGTATGAGATAAGTTTTTTTTTTTTTTTTTCATTTTCACGATACATTCACTTTCCAGTCTAATCAGTATCTACACTTTTTATTTTCAAATGTTAGTTATTAAGACATCAGATTCTTCAACTCTATTTTTTAGGACTTCATTTTCCTATAATTAAAATCAATAATGTTGATGTTAGGTTGTTTAACAATTAGCTAATTACGTTTTAAAAATAAAGTAAATAAAATTATGACATTTTATAATGTACGATTGTCTAACTATTAAGTTGTATAATAATCATAATAATAGTTTGTATAATTGTATACTTTAATCAAATAAAATGTTTTTTTTTTGTAGTTAGACCTCATAATACTTAGGGCTTGATTGTTTATGAAATAATTTGTTCAAATTGAGTTATTTTGGTTAACTATAGTTAATTTTAAAAAAGGTGGTATGGTTAATTGTAGTGGAATTTTAATAATGTATTAAAATAATATTTAAAATAAAATAATTAAAATTGATTTGATGTGAAAGTAAGAGATAAATGATTGGAAATGATAGATAGTTAAAATTATGTGAGTGGATGAATAGTGAATTAAAGTTGATGTGATGTGTAAGAATGATTGGTTTGTATTATTTAATTATATGAATAATATTAAAGATAGTGGAGGTGAGTTAAAGTTGAGTTAGATTTTGAGTTGAAATAAAAGTGAGTAATTTATTTTGTAAACAATCACCCCCTTAATCATTCATTATACTTTGAGCCTACTTCTCGAGCTTATTTCTATGCTTAGTCCCTACTACAATATACTTCACACCCAGCGACCTTTCTAATTTTGTTTAATTCTCAGCTTGAATTCTTACATCTACAGACTACAGCTCACGACACTTGCCTAACTTACAACTCGAACTCACATTTATAATGCACGAGTTATCAACATAAACCGAATATCATATGGTATTGTCACACCAATATTCATGTGTGCTATTTTAATAAACAATTAGAATATGGAATATCGACTTATGCCATTGAATATCAGACATATAAAATGATAGAGGGTATTAAATTAAATTTATAGTTATTAGAGTACCATATTTCAAGAAAAGAGAAAAGTAAATATAAGATAGTAATGGGGCACAAGGTCGCTGACCAACAAAACAAAGGGGCGTAACATCAAATTCACAATCTTAAGAGGGCAAAAGACAAATTCACCCAGTTAGTGTTAAATGCCACAAGGCAGATTTGTCTTCTTGTTCCAGCACGGAAGTGACATCGACATTGGATGGGCCCATACGACTTAAATTAATTTCGAATAATTGTGGTGAGACCTGGCCCGGCCCGGCCCAACCCAGCCCGACCCAACTTGATATTCTAGTATCGGTCCGAATAAGGACATATTTGTACTCTATACTTGTCAGTATACGGATCTCAAGCCCAACTTGCTCATCGTAGTCACTACAAGAGTTGTTAAACAAAATGAGCATTTCGTGAACTTGGTTCGATAAAACTCCAATCGGCTTGACTCGTTTATAACTTGATAGTATACGGATCTCAAGCCCAACTTGCTCGTCGTAGACTACAAGAGTTGTTAAACGAAACGAGCATTTTGTGAGTTTGACTCATTAAAACTCGAGTTCGACTCTAAACGAGCCGAACTCAAGCTCACTTAAAGCTTGTTTCGTTACTTGATAAGGCTCGTCAAGGTTTTAGAACATAATTTTCATATAATTTTTTATAGTTCGGTTTGTTAAAATTCGAACTCCGCTCGTTAATATGATAAACGAGCCGAGCTCGAGCTCAATATTTGACTCGTTTGCTTAACGACTCGAGACAAGCTCGGCTGATTAAGGGCTGAGCTCAAGTTCAGCTCAACTCGTCTATAGTCAGGCACTATGACGCGGTGTATTCGTCTGAGATTTGAGTGAGATTTAATATATTATATAATGGCTAAAGCATCACTATAACCATGGGTCGGATCCTCTTGCCTCGGGTCCAACAAAAAAAAAATGTACGGTAACCCACCTATTAGGCAAATCGGTCGGATCCTCTTGTCTCGGGTCCAACCAAACACGATGGACCAATGATTTAGGCCGAAATAACCTTTTTGAGCCCGTAAAACTTAAAGCTAATCGAACAGTAAAATTGGCCCACCCGAACAAAGCATTGAGAGGAGTGAAAAATGGAGGCAGTATATCATTGATGTTTTTTTAACCCATGATTTATGCACTAAAAATATTCTTATAAATTACTTATAAGTATTCTAAACTACTTATATTGTACGATTTATACAACATTCACACTCTTGTTATAAATTATATTGTAGGACTTGACTTTTCGTTATTGTTTCACAATAAAATCTGGATTTAGAACGTTTCATTTGAAGGTTTCAATTTTATGTTATTCTCAATTAAAGACTTAATTTTACATTATAACTCAATTTAAAACACCAACTAACGTTATATGTTTACATTACTAAAATACCATTATATTATAATTTATATTTTAAATAACTATAAGTATTTGTACTAAAATTACTTTAATGTTAAAATTACTTCATTTAAAGCTAAATTAATTTTGCTTAAATGTATCAAAAATTAAAGTTGTACTTAAAGCTAGCCGAGATTTGTTCAGTAGTAACGAAAATTTTTAGAAAAATTAACTCATTTAAGCTCTTCATTAAGTTTAGCTTAATGTAACGAAAAATTAATTCACCAACTAGCTTTTGTTTAGTATTTATTTTCAAAACTGTGATAACATTAAAAACCTAAACTGTTTAGAAAAATATCTTTTTAAAAAAAAAAAATATAGAAAATATATTATTTTGAATAAAGTTTATCTCTTTAAAAAATTTAAGAATATATAAATTTAATAACTATAATAAATGTATTAAATGTATTTGTAAAACTAGCTTCATAAGAAAATTAATTCAAATAAGTTACATTTGTGAAAAAATAATTTAGCTTAAATGAATTAATTTTATTACTAAATTAATTTTACTAAAGTCATTTATAATTATTAAAGATAATTGTATTTTGGTTTACATGTTTATGTTAAAACATAGTTAGTTCGTGTCGTAAATTAAAAACTGGAATATAAAATTAACATTTAAATAAACTAAAATTGAAGACATTAAATTAAAAAATTGAAAATTCGGATCCTATTGAACACAATAACAAAAAGTCAAATACTACAGTAGAATTTCCCATAATATTAATAAACAATATGAAATATAAATTATTGTGACACAATAAGATTATATTACTATTTCTATTTAAATTCCATATAATTGTTTTCTACTTTATACATGTAGATATAATTAATCATAGTTCATATAATCAATGTGAACATCAAATAAAAAATCGTAGAAATATTTTTAATTTAAAATGTTATATACAAATGTCAAAACACTAGAAACTAATTGTAAAAATTAGGTGTGTCATAGACTTATGTGTGTATATGAAATATCTCAATCATTACTCAACTCATACTTAAAATCTAATTCAATTTTAACTCAATCTCACTATCTTTAATATGATTAATATAATTAAAATAATATCAATCAATCATTCTTACACATCGCATCAGCTTTAATTTACTGTTTATCTATTCATATAATTTTAAATAAATATCACTTAATATTACATGTCTACTTATACGTCAAATCAATTTTTATTATTTTAATTAATTTACAAATCCTACTAATAATTAACCATACTAATTTTTTAAAATAAATTATGATTAACCAAAAACCTCATTTAAAAAAAAAATATTATATGAAGGCTCTTTGCATCTTTCTCCTTTATCAAAAAACCTAAATCCCCAATTTTAAACCTAATTTCAGTTGGTGCTACCGGAATCTGATTCTCCTCTCGCCTTTTCTTCTCGTCTAAAATCCCCACCGCCGTCCTGTCACAACCACCGGAAAAAATGGCCCCGATCGACCCACACTCCTTCACGGACTCCACCCACCCTCTCACCACCCACATTTCCCTCTCCTTCTACTTCGATTTCTCCTCCTCCACGATCCTCTCCTCCGCCGTCCTTTCTCTCTCCTCCCCTCACTCCGGCCCCCTCACCCTCGATTCCCGCTCGCTCGCCGTATCCGCCGTCTACGACCCCGCCACCATGGCCCCACTTCCCTTCACCTTCCACCCCGCCTCACCAGACGCCGTCCTCGGACAATCCCTCGTCGTCACACTCTCCAACCACTCCCAGCTGCTGATCGTGTTCAAGACCTCCCCATCTTCCTCCGCCCTGCAGTGGCTATCGCCGCCTCAGACTTTCAACAAGTCATTCCCCTTCGTCTACACCCAGTGCCAGTCCATCCACGCCAGGTCCATCTTCCCCTGCCAGGACACGCCGGCCGCCCGCATCAGGTATAGCGCAAGACTCAACATCCCTCGGTATTTGTCGGCTGTGATGTCTGCCAAACACATCGGCAGGCGGGACCCGCTCCCTGGCGAGTCCGGGGGCTCGTGCGATGACTCACTGTGGTGCGGTGAGGAGAGAGTTGTTGAGGAGTTTGAGATGGAGCAGCCCGTGCCTCCGTACCTTTTCGCGTTTGCTGTTGGGGAGTTGGGATTCAGGGAGGTTGGGCCCAGGACGAAGGTATACTCAGAAGCGGCCCCAGGTGTCTTGGATGCTGCTGCAAGAGAGTTTGCAGGGACGGAGGAGATGATCAAGGTGGGGGAGGGATTGTTTGGGCCGTACGAGTGGGAAAGGTTTGATTTGTTGGTTTTGCCGCCGAGTTTCCCGTATGGCGGAATGGAGAATCCGAGGATGGTGTTTTTGACGCCAACAGTGATTAAGGGGGACTCCACTGGTGCACAGGTCGTGGCCCATGAGCTAGCTCATAGCTGGACTGGAAACTTGATTACTAACAAGACAAATGATCACTTCTGGTTGAATGAGGTATGTTGGTTTGTTTGGTTATCGTTTTCTTTTTCCGTGAACAACAGGGCAGTTTCCTTTTTCTCTTATTGGGAAATAAAAATAGATATTGTGGATTTGATGGAATCGAATGATAACGGTAAGAAAAACAGTCGATATTACTTTAAGAATGTATTCTAAATGATTATGCACAAACCACAGGATTGTAACTTTCATTTTTACATTCAATATGGAAAGTATAATGATGGAAATTAGTAGTTACTGCTTCTAGGTAAAGCTGCCATTTGATCATTTCTGGATCTTTTGCTTTGTACGAGTTCGTTGACCAATTAGCCCATACATATGCATTTTCTTTGACAATCTGCGTGTCATGTGTATGATGAATGATGCATATATATTTACTTATGAGTTTTGGCTGGACAAGTGAAGGTAGTTATCCCTCTTTATTATTTTTCTTCCTTGGCATATCTCTTTCATTTACTATATGGATCTTTCTGCCAAGTTGTTTGATATTTTTTAAATCTTTTTACTTTTTTTTTGGGGGGGGATTGGATATGTTCGTATAGGGTTTTACAACATATGCTGAGAGGCGGATAGTAGAGGCTGTCCAAGGGAAACAGAGAGCTGCACTGAATATTGGAATCGGTTGGAGAGGACTTGTCGAGGCAGTTGAGAGGTTTAAGGATAACATGGAATTCACAAAACTAAAAACCAATCAGCAAGGAGTAGACCCAGATGATGTATACTCTGATGTGCCTTACGAAAAAGGCTTCCAGTTTTTGTGGCGCATTGAAAGACAAGTAAATTTCCATACTTGTATTTATTTTCTTTCCCATTTTTCTTTTCAGATTAACCTATTAGAGCTCAATTCATGTTCTTTTGTATGTATGACAGATTGGAAGGCCCGCGTTTGATGAATTCCTAAAAAAGTATATCGCCACGTTCAAATTCCAGTCGATCGACACAGATATGTTTCTCGATTTTTTAAAAGCAAATATTCCTGGAATAGAACAACATATTGACTTAAAACTATGGACTGAGGGTACCGGCTTGCCTCCGGATGCAATGGAGCCTGTCTCGGATATTTATACAAAGATTGTATCACTAGCAAATGAATTCAAGGTGGGCCGGATGCCGAACGAGGATGAAGTTGCTGACTGGGGAGGAATGGAGTGGGAGCTTTACTTGGAAAACTTGCCGAAATCTGTTGATGCTTCACAGGTACTTTTTTTTGGAATTATGAGCTCCTATACTTTTTCATTGTACTAAACTCTTCTGATCTTACTCTTGTCCTTGCTGAAAGACAATTACAAAGAGCACCCTTGAATCTGGCCTCTTATAAAGAGGAGATAATAAATTTAACTCAACCAAACCTTCCTCAATATTATCAATATAATCCGTCAATATTATCAATATAGTCTAATAATATCAATCAATCATCCTAACACATCACAACAACTTTATTTCATTATTCATCAACTCACATAATTTTAACTAATTCACTTCCAATCACCTCTCTCCTACTTATACATAAAATCAACTTTAACAATTATATCTTAAATATTATTTTAATAAAACCTCAAAAGTTCACTCAAAAGTAACCATTATCGGTTTCTTCACAGCAGGTATCAGCTCTGGATGCACGATACAGGCTTTCTGAATCAAAAGATTACGAGGTGAAGGTGGCATTTTTACAGCTGGCAATCTCATCCGGGTGCAGCAATTACTATAACGAGGTGGAGAAGACTCTCAAGGAAGTGGGGAGGATGAAATACCTTCGCCCCCTCTACCGAGCTCTGGTTTTAGGCCCTGGTAGAGAGGAGGAGAAGATATTCGCCAAAAGGGTTTTCTCGGAGGCTTGTGCTTGTTATCACCCGATAGCTCAAGGGGTCGTCGAGGCTATTCTTGCCAAACACATGTAGAAAGAAAAATGGCTTCTTTTTTTCTTTTTTTTTTGGTTTGTTTACTTTGTTGGCTTATAACCTAAATCATGTGATGCATTGTTGCCATTGTCTTTGTTTTTAGGATCTAAGCTAAAATTACGAAGTGATGTTTGTCTAATGTTTCATCCTGTTGGATATGTAACTCAGTTTACATTTATGTAATCTTTAATTTAACCTCGAAACGTCAAATAAATCTCGTGCTTAAAGTGATATTGTTCACATTTTCAGGGGAGTGTGAAAATGTAGCGCAACATTAGAGCAAGTTTTTTGCGCAACTCTGAAATGTTGCAAGTTTTTTGCAGAACTCTGTAATAGAGGTGTACTGTAGAGCAACACTGAACTATTGATGTTGGTCTCAGTTTGTTCAATCAGAGTGCCACTAAAAATAAATTATTTGGAAAAAATCACAATCATAGTAGTATAAGTAAAGAAGAAACTGATGTTTTTTAGTAGAATAATGAAACATTTTTTCGATTAGAGCATCCATAATGCTTTGGGTTTATTCACAAAAATATACATATCACATAAGAAATAGAGCTAGTCAAGAAAAATATGTACTTCAATCCAAGTGCAAGTGGACCGGGTCTCGCTTATGTGGCAGCAAGAAAAAGAGACCCGGTCTAGATTTGTACTCCAATGCAAGTGCAAGTAGACCCTAGTAGAGACCTAGTCTCTTTGCATTGGAGTTAAATTTGTTATTTTTTTTTATATTTTTGTCCATGTCTTCCAAGACTTAAGTCTATTAACTTGCCACATAAATACAATTAGAACCAAAGCATTATAGATGCTCTAAGAGCATCTGCATCGATGCGTTAATGTGCCGTTTAAACGAGTCCACCCTCCATTTAAACCAATGCAAGCGTTTATTTAATGAGAAAAAGTTATGGGGTCCACTAATTGTGTTAAGAGTATTGAACGCGCACTGAAGAGTTAAAAATAGAAAATTAATTTTCAAATCCCCCCACAAACATTAAAAAGTGGTGGGACCATGAAACCCCTCATTTTGTATTTAAATGAATGAACAAATATGGATGTGTGTTTAAATAAGGAGATGTTTAGTGGAAAGATGATGTGGATATGATGTGAATGAGAGAGAATATAAATTTTGATTGAATGAATGGATATGAATGTGGATGCGTAAGAGCACGAACATGAGTAAAATTAATGCTGATGTGCTAAAAAATTAGTAAAATAAATAATTGGAATTCTTATAATTCAAATTAAAAAATTGGAATATGAACTTTATTGGGCTCAATTAAGAAGTCGGCCTTAGGCCCATGGTTTGCTTTTCCGACAACCAATGAACAATAAATCAACTATATGGATCTCTCCTTGGGCTTCAGGGCCCAAACTTTATTTCGCAGAGACAAAAATACCCCTCAAATTACCAATTGATGAAAGCAGATATTTCGCAAAACTTTCACTGAGCTCAGCCTCGCTCGCAAAACCTCGAAGAACACAGGAAAAAAGAGTAGTACGCTAAAAGGTGAGCAATTTGTGTCAATTTATATTTTTTTTTTTTCGTGGATCTGATGGTTAATTTGTAATGGTTGATTTTCATTTTTAATTATATTATTTTTTTGGCGGTGTGATTTGGTGAAGTTTCTGACGATTTGGTTGAAATGGTTTGAGACTGTGTATGCTGTAATTGAGGGATGGTGAAAAAATTGGTTTTTGAATTCATTCTTTTTGTGGGTTTTCATGTTCGATTAGATTTTGGAATTCATCTGGGATTACTTTTCAGTTTTTCGGATTCTTGTTCGCAAATTGATATTTTTTTTTAATTTTTATTTTTTCTCAAATTGAAAAGAAAAAAAGTACATTGTGTATACGAGTATATGAATCCCCTTGTAGATGTAATGATAAACCGGTGGTAACTTGTTTTGATTTTTAGATGGCAAGTGCAGTGGATGCAGCTGGAGAACCAGTTCCTACCTCGTCTGTTTTAATGGCGGCATCCAAGCATATCGGGTCTCGATGCCGTGCTGAGAATGTGGCTTTTCTGATGTGCAAGAAAGACGATCCTAACCCCGAGAAGTGCCTCGACAAGGGTCGCCAAGTCACGCAATGTGTGTTCCACCTGTAAGTTAAAAATTGATACTTGTATGTGGCATAAAAGGATTGTCTTGTTATACTTGGTGTAGTTCAATAATCGACTGTCATATCATGGGATAAAGTTGTTATTGGACATTTTATTCCTATGGTAGCTGCTGAGAATCGAGGGATTTGATGTTTGTCTTCTATTTTTTTTTTGGCTTCTATAGTGAATGTGATAGCTGGATTTGAGATGGCTTCTGGTTTATTCTTACGGAAGGATGCAATGAATAGTAATATGGAATTCGTGTGTTTATGCCTTTGTATATTGTTCGGCTCCCTTTCTAGAGTGGCGAGGACATGGATATTTACATTTGATACTTTAATCTGCCTTTTTTTTTTCTTTCCTCGAAATATTATGTTCTTCTCATCGTCAAAATGTTAGCTGCATTTCGTTTTGTGAGTAGGATGAGAGTAGCAAAACATAGCTAAGAGAAATATTTTAAAGACTTTGAGAGTTACGGGTTCTGTTTCTGCAGCATTATGCAAAGGATAACTGAGAGGCATAGATATCCGTATGAAATTATTAAAATATTGTTTAAATTCCATATTATCAAAGCTTATACTTACTAGGCTTGACTTAATTGTAATATTTATGTATGTTAGAAGTCATTGGTGGTGCTATTGCCATGCCTAATGCCACTAATTATATAGCTTCTGATGTGAATCACACTAGCAAAATTCGGCAACTGTTGTGGTTATTTTTTTTTTGCTTGAAATGCAATTCAAATCCAATATCTGAACAAAATCAATTTAGTTTTGCATCCTAAACATCGGCTACCTAGAGTTTTAGTTATTTACCTCTAACCTTGATTCATGAGCTGTTATTTTTTTCCTTTCCTGAGAATAGAGAAATGTATTCTTATGTCTGATTGGTCAATGCTTCATCTATAATTTAAAAAAACGAGTGAAGTACTGCCCAATACTTGGTTATATGACTAAAGTTCAAAATGACTGCAGATGCTATCCTCCTTCCTGCTCTCTGTAAATTTTTCTAGTGTGAATAATAGTTTGCAATACAACGGTTTTCGTTTCTATCTCATATGCTAGTGATGGTGCTACAACAGTGGCTTCAAGATATGAGACTAAAATCTTCTTGTGAACTGTCTATAATGTGCACTGATTAAACTCCAAAATGATGATAACTATAGCCCAATTACACACACACACAAAAAAAAAAATAAAAAAATAAACACGATTATCTTTCAAAATTGCTAATGCTCTGTCCACCTTCTTTTTCATTTATCTTCCTTTTTTCTTCCCGAAAAATTGCACCTTTTGAAAGGGGAACTGTTGTAACTAATGCTGAATTGAAGGGGGTATTATCAGTTTCCGAAGAATGGTGGTAACAAAATATATATGCTAGCTGATTCTATACTTGCCGGTGTTTTTTGGTTTTGTAGGTTGAGAGATCTACACCAAGTGTGCAACAAAGAGCTCGACTCGTACTCAGGGTGCATGTATTACAACACCAATGAATTCGATCTTTGCCGCAAAGAGCAACAAGAGTTCGAGAAAGCATGCCCCCTTTGATTTGTCTTCGGACCATTTATGTTAAGATTCTCGGTTTTTGTTTGGTTGGTTCACCGTGTTCTTGACTTCTTGTATGGTGTAGAAAAGTGTTTGCGGGAGAATGACCCGACACCTCTCTGTATGTTCCAGATGAAAAGCAAATTTCTCAATAATTTCGTCAAAAATAGTTTGGATTTGTTTCGTATAATAAAGCTGCATGGATGT